AGAAAAATCTATGATTTTGTAGATTTTGGGGGGCTCTCCATCAACACATCCAGCTTTCTGTGTCGCCCCTCTACATGGTTGTTCACCCTCCACCCAGTAGGTTGTCACGTAGTTGGTGAAGCTGCTGTCACGGGGTGGAGCATTTTCTGGGGTATGGAACCACACGTCACAGACAGTGTACACAGGAACCAGTCGAAAGGTCATAGCTATCCTCACCAACAGCCCAACATCACTGTTGTCCTTGTATCATGTCACTAAACCACATTTTTGCACATTTTTCCCACACAGCTTGAGTGTAATGGAACATACAATAAATTAGAGGAATAATGGTGTCTGCTGTCATGTCACTTTGGCTGTAGGTGGTGAACACTTGTCAGCCAGCTCCCTCATCAGGTGAGCCCTAAGCACTAATCCCCCTGGCCGGCTGTCTGACCTGGAACATATTTCAAGGGGAGGCTCAACATGTCCACAGTCAACCAAGCATTGCTGTAAATCCCCCTAATCTGCTGGGTATCGGCATGAGCCGCTGTACTGTCTGATGGAAACTTACTTCAATATGCTCTTTATTGACCTTGTATTATGTCTGTTAATTTTAAAAATCTTCATTGCAATTATCAAATCCTTGGGCCAAGATATATATTCTCCCCGATAAACATTGGATCCTGAAATGTAAGCGTCACAATGAAAGATCAGGGGCCCGTTTCACGAAGCGATTATAGCGCTACGACTGTTGTAAGTCTATGCTAAAGTTTGGGAGTCACGATCATCTTAGCACTATGACTGTCGTAAGTCTATGTTGAAGTGTGGGAGTCACGGTCACCTTAGCATTACGACTGTCGTAAGTCTATGTTGAAGTATGGGAGTCATGATCACCTCAGCACTATGACTGTCGTAAGTCTATGTTGAAGTATGGGAGTCACGGTCACCTTAGCACTACGACTGTCGTAAGTCTATGTTGAAGTATGGGAGTCATGATCACCTCAGCACTATGACTGTCGTAAGTGTATGTTAAAGTATGGGAGTTGCAATCATCTTAGCGCTACAACTGTCGTAAGTCTATGTTAAAGTATGGGAGTCACGATCACCTTAGCTCTACGACTGTCGTAAGTCTATGTTAAAGTATTGGAGTCACGGTCACCTTAGCACTACGACTGTTGTAAGTCTATGTTAAAGTATGGGAATCATGATCACCTTAGTACTATGACTGTCGTAAGTCTATGTTAAAGTATGGGAGTCATGATCACCTTAGCACTCCTACTGTTGTAAGTCTATGTTAAAGTATGGGAGTCATGATCACCTTAGTACTATGACTGTCGTAAGGCTATGTTAAAGTATGGGAGTCATGATCACCTTAGCACTACGTCTGTTGTAAGTCTATGTTAAAGTATGGGAGTCATGATCACCTTAGCACTACGACTGTTGTAAGTCTATGTTAAAGTATGGGAGTCATGATCACCTTAGCACTACGACTGTCGTAAGTCTATGTTAAAGTATGGGAGTCATGATCACCTTAGTACTATGACTGTCGTAAGTCTATGTTAAAGTATGGGAGTCACGATCATCTTAGCACTATGACTGTTTTGAGTCTATGTTAAAGTATGGGAGTCACGATCACCTTAGCGCTACAACTGTCGTAAGTCTATGTTAAAGTATGGGAGTTACGGTCACCTTAACGCTATGACTGTCGTAATACGTCTATGTTAAAGTATGGGAGTCACGATCATCTTAGCGCTACGACTGTCGTAAGTCTATGTTAAAGTATGCAACGCATTTTACGGGGGGTATTAAGATGCACTCCATCCGTCCATCCGCGCTCAATATTTCGTCACCACACTTGGCACATAGATAGGTCTGGTGGTGAACTGGTGCCTTTTTGTACTTTGGATATCTGATTATAATACTAGTATTTTTCCGTTTCCATGGCAACAAGTTTGACTTTGAAATTGGCGTTGGGGCTCTTTTCCGGAGCAGAACTTTAAAACTGTTCAATATATCTTCACCAAACTTGGCACATAGATAGGTCTGGTAGTGTACTGGTGCATTTTTGTAGTTTGGATTTCTGAATAAAATATTTTTTGCATTTGCACGGCAATAAGTATGACTTCTGGAACAGAACTTTAAAACCTTTCAATACTCTCCTTCCACTTCTGCAATATAGTCACTGACTTGGTTGACACATATCATTGTATCCTATTTGTGTAGATCGATGCTCATGCTGTTGATCACTGGATTATCTGGTCCAGATTCTATTATTTAGACCGCTGCCTTGTAGCTGGAATATTGCTGAATGTGGCATAAAACTTACTTACTCACTGCTATATATATGCCAAAACATTTGACATAGTCGTAACTAGTTAACATATTCATGAAGAGAGTTTTGCCATTGTGGGGGATATTGATGACTTTGTCTTCTTGTTTTTTCGTTTGTCCATTACCATTTGTCCTTTGTATTTTTGTAATCATTTAATTTTAAGTATCTCCAAAGATTTTTAAAAAGTTTGTGTTGTTGTGGTGCTTTACAAATATATCTGAAAATGTTCAAAGTTAAATATGTGTGAAGCCCATTTCTGCTGTCCCTTGCCGCGATATTGCTGGAATAATGCTAAAAGCATCGTAAAACATTACTCACTCAGTCATTGTAGAACAGTGGTGTATCTGTATTACATTGTTTCAGTTAATATTCAATCAGTGCTTGTATATTATCATATCATTGTATTTCTACTGCCAGTATGTTATTCTGTAATTGTACTACCTATAGATCTTATTCTGTCATTGTATTTGTACTACCTGTACATCTTATTCTGTCATTGTATTTGTACTACCTGTACATCTTATTCTGTCATTGTATTTGTATTACCTGTACATCTTATTCTGTCATTGTATTTGTACTACCTGTACATCTTATTCTGTCATTGTATTTGTACTACCTGTACATCTTATTCTATCATTGTATTTGTACTACCTGTACATCTTATTCTGTCATTGTATTTGTACTACCTGTACATCTTAATTGTATTTGTAACCCGTACATCTTATTGTGTATTTGTACCTGTACATCTTATTCTGTCATTGTATTTGTACCACCTGTACATCTTACCTGTAGATCTTATTCTGTCATTGCATTTGTACTACCTGTACATCTTATTCTGTCATTGTATTTGTACTACCTGTACATCTTATTCTGTCATTGTATTTCCTTTGACGTGATTACTGTTGATTTGTAGACCTAGTTTATTTTAGAATATAGTTGATATTTATATCATTTCTTTGTTTGTTTTTGTAAACCAAGTTCAATAGACTGATTTTCTGGGTCTTGATTTAAGAATATGAAACATACTTGCACCCGGTGCAACCTTAGGTAATAACCTTGTTGCACCTGAAAAACCACCAGGTTGCACCTGCTGCTCAACATAAACTTTACATAATGCTTGAGCTTTGGTAGTGATGATTTTGAACATCAACATTACTCTGGATATAAGATTGTTTTCTTACTTTATAACAAATTTCGGATATTCAAAGAGTGTCTGTGAAGTCATCAGTCATCAGTAGGAAAAAAAAAGTAATTATTTTTCGCCTCAAAAAATAAAATCCTAGTGTTTCTATTGACCAAAAATGTAAACTTACAAGAAATTTTTTTTTAGATTGTTTTTTGCCAAAAGTAAAATACTTACAGTATTTATAAGGAATATTACTTTGACTGGTAATGTTTTTTTCACCTCCCGACTTAAGGTTTTCTGAGGACAAAAATCCGTAAAACAAGAAACACAATTGGTCTGGCCTAAACAGGAAACTATACATTGGTATAAATGAGGCTGCCGTTTCAGGTTGCACCAGTGCAAGTTCTAAGTCCTTAAATTGAGCCCTGTTTCCAGTTAACATATTGTTTCAACTTGGGAATCGACATGTAACAATATACGCTGTAACAATAGTTGCAAGAGGGTTACATGGTATTGGCTCAAAACTCACATGTCATGTATACTACCCATCAAACGTTTAGACTCACTTAAAGCATGGAAGATGAATTACTGCACTAACTTGGGGGAACCAACTGCAAACCTTATGCAGATGAAATGCACGAGGATCATGCATCAAATTGCTGAAAAGCATGTGCAAATATCGTGCATGTGAACAGCTGCGTTGTGGTGTAAAGTTTGGTTAAGAATTCGCCAATTTTCACTAAGTTTCATCATTTATTGAACTCATGTCAATAATCTTTTCAATGTTACAAATTTATTTTACAATACATCACTTCATGTGTAAACAGTACCTTTAAACAGTATCGAATACTTTGCAAAATCTGACCCGTGAAGATCTGGGGTAGAATAGGTCTTCAGCAACCCATGCTTGCCAGCCAAAAGGCGACTGATGGATTGGGTTGTCAGGCTCGACTTGGTTGGACACATGTCATCGGTTCCAAATTGCGCAGATCGATGTTCATGTTGTTGATCACTGGATTGTATGGCCCAGACTGGATTATTTACAGACCGCCGCCATATGGATGGAATATTGCTGGGTGCTCACTCACTCACTCAATGTCAGTGGAGGTCAAATAATCAAACATGGCTGAAGACTTTTTAAATTTTGGATCGATTCGTGAAAAGTCAAGATTTTTGTAATAAGTTGAGATGAAGATAATCTGTAATGACTCAATAACTAACTCGGACAAGGCTTGCGAACCGTTGTAGCGCTATGAACGTTTTGTGGATTTGGGCCATGATGTATCATGGAATCACGGAAGGACGTGACACTTGACATGCACAGTCCATGCACAGTAGTGAACATTCCTGATGAAGGTGATGGCAATACTGGTTAAATAACTGTAAGTGTAATAGTAGCACGTACAGCTTGCATTGCGCATACGACATGCTCAGTCAGTTTAATGGGGGACCCTCCAGACCAGCGCACCTAGCCGATTAGTGAAGGGAAGATAATTTGACAAGGATCGCTCATCGGTTTCAAACCTGTGAGATCAAAATTCGGGTTTATGGTGATGACCTTGATCAGATGATGAATGACAATTTCATATCCAGAATTTTCACTGTATGCCTAGATTTCTCTGTATCCCTGGTTTTCTCAGTATCCCTGTTTTTTCCATGTCCCTGGTTTTCTTTTTGCTTGGGTTTCTCCGTATCCATGGATTTCTCCATGTCCGGTTTTCTCTGCATCCCTGGAATTCTCCATGTCCGTGGTTTTCTCCGTATCCCTGGTTTTCTCAATGTCCGTGGTTTTCTTTTTTGCTTGCGTTTCTCCGTATCCATGGATTTCTCCATGTCCGTGGTTTCCCCGTGTCCCTGGTTTTCCCCATGTCTGGTTTTCTGTGTCCCTGGTTTTCTCCGTATGCCTGGATTTCTCTGTATCCCTGGAATTCTCCATGTCCCTGGTTTTCTTTTTCCTTGGGTTTCTCCGTATCCATGGATTTCTCCATGTCCGTGGTTTCCCCGTGTCCCTGGTTTTCCCCATGTCTGGTTTTCTGTGTCCCTGGTTTTCTCTGTATCCCTGGATTTTTCTGTATCCCTGGAATTCTCCATGTCCCTGGTTTTCTTTTTCCTTGGGTTTCTCCGTATCCATGGATTTCTCTGTGTCCCTGGTTTTCCCCATGTCCCTGGTTTTCTCCATATCCCTGGTTTTCTCTGTATCCATGGAATTCTCCATGTCCCTGGTTTTCTCCGTGTCCCTGGTTTTTTCCGTATCCCTGGTTTTCTCCGTATCCCTGGTTTTCTCCGTGTCCCTGGTTTTCCCTGTGTCCCTGGTTTTCCCCCCATGTCTGGTTTTCTGTGTCCCTGGTTTTCTGTATCCCTGGATTTCTCCGTATCACTGGTTTTCTCCATATAGTGTTAAAGACATGCATCTCTTTGATCCTTCACCCACATCAATCTGACATACATTGTAATGTAAATACTGTTTTAAAAAAACAGGGAGACACTGGGGGCCCAGTTGTTTGAGGCATTGCGAGGTCACGTTAACTCATTATTAGGCCTGCCAAAAGCCGCTGGTATTGGGTTTGAATCCCAGTTAGGGCGATGGGGTAGCCTAGTGGTAAAAACATTCACTTGTCACGTGGAGGGCCCGGGTTCGATTCCGCTCATGGAAACAATGTAAGAAGCCTATTTCAGGAGTCCCTCGCCATGATGTTGCTGGAATATTGCTAAAAGCAGCGTAAAACAATACTCACTTGAATCCTGGTTAACCCTTTTTGATTTCTCTGCATATCTGTCCAAGAATTTCTTCCAAATTTTCGTAAACATCAAAGATTTGCAACACAAGGATCACTAAAGAGGTGAATCCTGGATTAGATTCCTTCCCAAATAGTCAAAGTGTATGGATCAAGAAACCGAACTCTTCAGAACTTCATTTTACAAATAACAATTTAAAAAATACCAACATTATGAAATATTATTAAACAAACATAATTTATTTATTTTTACATGATTTTGATTGAACTATGCAGATACTTCTAAGCCGAATCAAAATATGTCTAAAAATTCCAGCCCTATTTGGCAAGGGTGGGAATTGGACTTAAAAGTCAGTTATCTCTCTTGCCTCAGGGACATGACCTTGGTCATGAAAGCAGACGTTTTAACCAGTTTTAATCAGGGTACCAACACTGAAGAATCTATGGCAACAGAAATATCCCAAAATGTTGTGAAGTAAAAAAGTAACACAGACTTTCAAAAGCTTTTTTATTTCATGTAAATGAATATATGCATTGTGGGCAGGCAACATTGGTTTCGTTGAACAGGAAAAAGTGATTGTGTGAGCATCAGTGAGTCCATCAGACAAGGTATGTTCTAACCAATGCATGTGTGGTATACAAGAAGGGATACAATGGTCATGTGAACCAATCTGATTCTCTTTATGTCAACATGTTTGATTAATTTCTGGAGAATATATTAAAGTCGGTTGGAAGCATGGTGATTCAGAACTGGCCTGTGTCACATTAACCTGCACTTTCTCCACCAGTCTGGATCATTCTCTGTAAGTCAGGTTCGGAGGGGTACCCTAGAGGGTAAGGCGTTGGCTTGTGGCGTTAAACAACCATCCTTCCTCGAAAGTCAAAACAGGAAGAGATGACCGGAAGAGTCCCTGTAGTTGGTGAGTGTGGTTGTACACGGCTTTTAGCATTACCCATCCATATTGTAGCTAGGCACCAAAAATGGGTTTCAAATGTTGCACCAATGTAGGGAATCGGACCTTGGGGATGTATTTAATGTAACAACTTAAGTCATTCAAAAAACTTATAAAACTAAGTTCTCATTGTTTGATATAAGTTTTGTGATAAAACTTAAGTCTAAGTCTGTTGATAAATATGACTTAAGTTTTGTCATTTTTTCATGTAACTGTTAAGACCAACAAACCAACCATATCTTAAACATCATATACTAACAAGAAAATTGTATTTCAATTCATTTTTCTCCCCCAATGTATATTTATGATCCCTAAACACACAAGAGTAACAAGAGGCTGCAGGGTAGCCTAGTGGTTAAAGCATTTGCTTGTCACGCCAAAGACCTGGGTGTCCCCCGCCGTGATATTGCTGGAATATTGCTAAAAGCGGCGTAAAACCATACTCACTCACTATACAAGAGTAACAACTCACTCGCTATACAAGAGTAACAATTCCATTGTAATGCCTTTCTTAAAATATTTGAAGTTTAAGATTACATCATTTCAGCATGTTCAGCCATTGAAGCTACATCTGTTGATTTGCTGCTGGAATATTGTTCAGTGCGGCGTAAAACTAAACTCACTCACTCTGATATATTGTATATTTCCCTACTAACATACGAGTGAGTGACTTTGGTTTCAGCAATAACCCACCAAGGGACACCAGAAATGGTATTCACATATTGTGAGTGAGTGAGTATATTTTACACTGCCTTTAGCAATAATCCAGCAATGGGGGGACACCAGAAATGGGTTGACACATTGTATCCATGTGGGGAATCGAACTCAGGTCTTCAGCGTGATGAGCAAACACTTCCTCTTGGCTGCCCCACCACCCCTCACATATGGAACACATGTAGGAATTGAACCTAAGCCTTTGCTGTAGCAAGAGAACACATCAACCACTCAGCTACCATGGTCCTTCAGTGAGTGAGTGAGTGAGGTTAGTTTTACATTGCTTTTAGCAATATTCGAGCAAACACTTTAACCACTTGGCTACCCCACCGCCCCATTTCTTCCAGGAATCAAAGTTAAACATTTAAGTCATATAACACATGTATGCAAATAGAATGCATTTACAAAAACTATGACAGTTTTATTTTTTGTTGGCATTTTCATTGCTACTGATGCCTCTATCGGCATTGTCATTATTATCTAAAAGAATTCGCTGACTGGCAGTTAATTCCATTCTGGCTAAGTATAACACAGAAGTATAGTTCAGCCAATTAGCCCTAAAATAAAATGGTTATAAAATGCACAGGAAAAATTGATACAACATAAACATGTTTTCAGATCTGCAGGTCGTAATAAGTATTCGAAGCCCAGATATTAACATTTAACAGGCTGCAGGAAGAGATGAGAAACAATCTCATTCATTTCACAATAATTCTCACTTGAACTTTGAGTAACAGTGTTTCCAGTAGCAGGACCAAAATAAAGTGATACACCTGGGTCCCCCATCCACAAAGTGTACGTAACATTACAACCTGTCGTAACACCGTAGTTTATCATCGTGTTATGAATGTCATAGCGATCCACAAAATGTTCGTAACATTACAACCTGTCGTAACACCGTAGTTTATCATCATCTTACGAAAGTCATTGCGATCCACAAAATGTTCGTAACATTACAATCTGTCGTAACACCGTAGTTTATCATCGTCTTACGAATGTCATAGCGATCCACAAAATGTTCGTAACATTACAACCTGTCGTAACACTGTAGTTTATCATCGTGTTATGAATGTCATAGCGATCCACAAAATGTTCGTAACATTACAACCTGTCGTAACACCGTAGTTTATCATCATCTTACGAATGTCATAGCGATCCACAAAGTGTTTGTAACATTACAACCTGTCGCAACTCCATAGTTTATTATAGTCTTACGAATGTCATAGCGACACGAATGTCGCTACGTCGGGTCTGTGATACCTGAGCTCACAAAAAGAACATGGCTGCAGAAAAAAAAAATGTCCTTTAAACATCTACCTGACAGGGCATTTAGCAATCTTTTAATACTTTTTTAATACTGATTTTGCTTTGTTTGGTCATATTAGACCATCCTTAAAATGCAATTTTCTGTCAATACTAAAACGTTAACAGACTTTGTTCTTGCTTCGAGAGAGGGGATTTGCCCTAAATTTTGTAAAAGTATTAGGATGTTTCATATGTCCCATTGTCAACAGTATATTGTTGTAGGTTTTCGTTTTGGAAAAGGGTGAGAAGTATATCAAAATTTAGGCCCAATTCTTAAGCTACCTTATACCTACTTATAAACTCAAATTGTTTGGTGCCAAGTCCTCTCAGTATGCAGCTGCTACCCTTTGCGGCTCTCTGCCTCTTGATCTAAAACTAGTACTAACTCTGCCACTCTTCAAAAACAGACTCAAAACACACCTTTTTCAACGCTGTTTCATAAATCCTTGTATTTTCCTTTACATATGAACCGTGACTCTTCAGCGCTTTGAACATTGTCCTTGTGTGGTGAAAGTCCGCGCTATACAAAATAGTCATTATTATGTTATTTATTATTATTATTATTACCTCTAAATCGAAATGATTTGTGTGTCTGCATGCTTAATGTAAGTATTTCGGCACATTGCCATTTTAGTCGGGGACATGAAAAAGTCAAAATACAAATAACCCTCGCCAAATATGACAATAATTTTAGCAATTCACGTCAATGAAGAAGTAGAGATGATAGATGACTTAAATAAAATGCCAGTGATTTTGCTGGACAACTGTAAATAGAATCCTATCACAGATAATATTTTCACAAAAACTATCACTATGAACATAACACAAAAACAGTATAACTATGTACAAATATCACTTAAAATAACAAATGATAACAAAATGGTTACAAAAATATTTCTGACAGACACTAGTTTCTGTGCCAGTTAATCATTAAAGAATTTAATTCATATCAACAGGTCCATGTATGAAATGTGTAAAAGAGAAAAAGAATAGATCCTGCTTGTGTTTAACCAAATATCCAAAATAAAACTTGGGTAAGCTGGAATATAAATTATAACCAAAGGCTAAAATAAACTGTAATCCTTAAAAGTTATAACAGTAGTAAATGAACAATATGGACTGTTGAAATTTTGTGTAGACAAAACAATGTTGTCATGACAACAGCAATGAGATGTGAAATAACATGAGTATTGCCATATGAAATAAAGTCACATCTCTTATTTGGAATAGAAGATTTGGGGAAAAAAAATGTATCCATATTATGTTGAAATGGTACAAAATTTAATTTCAAGATTAAAAATTTAGAGTGGGTTTTATGGTTTTATGCTGATTTTAGCAATATCCCAGCAATATCAGAGCATGGGACACTGGAAATGGGTTCCCACATTGTACCCATGTGAGGAATCGAATCCAGGCTATCAGCGTGAGAGGTAACGCTTTCACCACTAGCCTACACCACTGCCCCTAAAAATTTGGAGTGTGGTGGGGTAGTCTAGTGGTTAAAGTGTTTGCTCATCACACCAAAGACCCGGGTTCAATTCCCCACATGAGTACAATGTGGGAAGCCAATTTCTGGCGTCCCCCGCTGTGATATTGCTGAAATATTGCTAAAAGCGGCATAAAATCATACTCACTCACTAAAAATTTAGAAATCCCAAGGGTCCACCATCTTACAAGTCCACTT